ACTAATTTCTACTAAATAAATATTTTTTCTAATAATATTCAATTTAGGAATGAAAAATTTACAAGTTTCCAAATTTTCAATCAAATTTTATTTTTTAATTAATAATAATTATCATGAGATATAAAAAATCGACTTAAATAAAATACAAAATAAGTAGTTACTTACATTTTTGGCTTTTGAAACACCACTAGGTATTTTCCAGGCAACTGGAAGAAGGGGAAGAAGTGGCATACCTTTAACAAAATATGAATTATTATAATTTATTTTGAGAAATACAGCGATGGTTGATCAAAAAATTTAACATAATAAAATATGAAACTCTATGAAGACTTAACTTTAATAGCAAAAGAAATAAAAATTCTAATAAACTATAATTAGAGTAAAAATTAAAATTCTAATATAAAAATCTAAAACTAGATTTTAGTTTTTAATTAATAATAATTGCAGCGAAATATAGGGAATAAAATTAATAGAATACAATGTGCAAAGATTCTTACATGTATAAATTTGAAACACCACTACATCCTTCCCAAAGAAGAGGAAAAATGATGGAAGTTATGAAAAACCTGTAACAAAACATGTTAAATATTATAAGTTGCTCTTGAAAACGTACTTGTGATTGTTAGAAAATTTAAAACAATGCAAAATAAAACTCTATTCAAACATGAAATTTTAATAATAAAAAGATTTGAAATTCTAATAAAGTTTAATTATTATATAAAAAGTGGAATTTTAACACAATAATGATAGACTTAGAAATTGAGGCTCTACGAATTTCTGAACGATACCAAACATTTTTATTGTGTACTTCAATAGCAAAATTTTAACATTTTAGTTCGATAAATAAATTAAAATGCAATGTACGAAAAACTTACATTCTTGAGCTCCAGGAAAGGCTTTATCCTCTTGCGAGACCTGCGACTCTACTACCGAAAACGAACGTGTAACAAAAAAAAAAAGAGTAATAGACTATTAACACGTCCGTTTAAGTCAAATGACAATTGGCGGACACACTGACTCTAATTTCGCGTCTGATTATTACAATTAAATTTAATGAAAGTTGTTATGTTCTAAGTCAATATTAAATGTGATTTAACGCAGCAAGCACTGACTCTACCAACCGCATTGCGCGCGGTTACAAAAATATTCTGAAAGAAAAACTTTATAAGAGGTAAGGGATAGGGAGTCGAGTGTTTGTTTACGAAAATACTGCTCTCTTAGAACTACGAATTAATCATTATTTATTTACAATAGGTAGAATCATATATCATATCAAGGAACGAAAATATACATAGAAATATCATACCAAGAATACGAAAGAAAATATATCGTTAATTTATTTAAAATATTTTTCAAATTGAATGTCCGCCATTACAGCTTCAAATATTTTATGTATTACGTGACTTTCTTCTAATGCAACATGGCGGACTTCTTCTGACCGTTAAACAAAGCTGCGCAATATGAAAAAAACGCGATGCGCAGAACCTGTCCAAACTTGTCTCTGATAGCGTACTTTCTCGAATGTAATAGAAGTTATTGAAGATGACGAAATTAATAGTCAATATTATATTACAGACAATTTACGAATAATGAAACAAAATGAAAAAGTTATTTGAATTTCTTACTCAAATGAAACAAAATCGAGAAAATCTATGTCAAATTTATGTTAAATAATCTTTTCAATTTCTTCGGAAACATAATTTAATATATTCGAAAGAAAAAAGTAATTTCTTTAATCTTGCATTTTTCATCTTAGTATTCTTAATTAACCGTAAATTTAGAATTTGTTATATTAGATATTAATTATGTTAATATCACAAAATATTTATAATAAATGGAATTAATCGCATAGTGAATAAACATTACCAATTACTTAACTAAAAAAGGGAAACAAACATATAAATACGTTTGCCTTCCTTAAAATAAATGAAATATTACCTCATTTCAACGAAAAGTTATCAAATTTATCGTTAATCACCATGGCGTCCTTTTGACCTCCATCCCGTCCTTTCGAATTTCGCAGCATCTCTCTAATAGTTTCAAGCTTCCTTCGGAATCAAACAATTGCAACCTGCGCAAAAAAAGAACAAAATATTAATACAAATATATAAAAAGAGAAAATTACTTGTAAATGGAACAATAATCAAAGTCAAATTGTCTTTCGAAAACACATTAGACGAGCTACCGGCAAATGGGGCAACCAAAAAAAACGGTAAAAAGAAAAGAAGGTAACTAAATAATAGATTATAATGAAGTATTAAAGAAAAATGTACAATTAAGTAAAAATAACGATAGCGTGAATTTAAACTTGGTAGAAAAATGTCTATGAAAGTACCAAAGATATTTGTCGCGAAGTGACACGAATAAATGTACGTCTAATCTCTCTGATTGCCCATACTTAACTGACTCCAGCACCGCGATTTATCCCGCGAATTTCGGCTGGCAGGAGTGGGGGAATTAGATAGCTAGTTAGATGCGTATGCACGAATAGGATTCGTCAAATTCCTGAAAAACCTATGTTCAAGGATATCTTTTCAGCAGTAAACATATTATGTCTCAAAAGAAAAAAAAGAAAATAATATATTAGATTGAGATGCACGTAAAAACTGACTAGTAGATAGAAAACTGAAGAAAGATAATTTTTCATTCAAAATAAAATTATATCTGGGCCGAAGGAACTGTGATTAACTTATACCTTGTACATACATATGTATACAGAAGAGCCTATATATACATATTTATTATTCTTTTATTTATATTTCATTCATTTAGCAACTTTCATCAATTATACGTATGTTAATTATACTTGCTGTTATTATTCATAATTGTTCGACTCTGCTCCCAGTTCCTTCCAATTTTCAATATGACAACGCGCAAAATAATGTAACTTCATATTTTAGTTCGTACAGCTGTCACTAGGGCGATGTTGGTGTAGGACCGTATCATATTTTAACAGTACCTGGATCCTATTTGGGTTTTCCTGTATTTCGATATCCGTTTATAAAGAAATAATATGCCACATCATTAAATTGTGTTAACATATTGTTGCTTTACTTCTAGTGGTTTTACCAATTTTGGTAGTTGGGTTAAATATAATGCCTAATCTCACTGTTCCATTGTGGAGGGCATAGCAAAGCTGATTTCTTACAAAATTAATATTTGACAACATAAAACACGAAATTCTATAAAGTAACAGGTTTATTCTGCATTATATCTGTACTATTGGCATTCTTTGATGTGATTCGTATCACTGGAAGTGCTGAGACTGTGATATAATTTTACATTAAATCGATAACGTTGTAAATGATATAAAAATATTAAGAAATTAACAGTTAGAGTTCTTGAATCATATATATATATAAATCACAAAACTACACTGGGTGTGAAATTTATTTGAAAGGCCTATTAACCATTATTAATAAGGATTTTCTGAATTCCGGATAATTTATATGTACAATTTACCCACTAAGCTGCGCTTCTTATTATCGACGTAATTGATAAAAAACGAACCATCTATACCATCCGACACTATCATTGATCTCAACATGTCGATACGCAACGAATAAATCGAAGCTCTTCAACAAAATAACAAGTCTAGATCAAATTTCAATCCTAATCTAATCAGTCTATATTAACAAATAATTGTAATTCTTACTTTAAACGGTATTAAAATACTACAAATATGTGTAATCGTTTTAGAGAATATTAAAGAATATTCCAAATCATTAATTCCTTCCTCATACCAAACAAGAACTGTTTATGAACTCGAAATCTAGTTAATACATGCTGATTGTACTTAATACGCATACGATTCAGTTCCAAGTCAAGCCAAATTCGTTTAATGCACTGTCCGATGTTCTTAATTTACGCTTTCCAATCCCTTCGTCGAAACGAGTGGTAAAGCTCATGCTTTAAAGCTCGTTTCCCCAAACAGGATGAAGCGCAGGGTATGTCTCACATCTGTATTGTTATCCTTTTGATGTCCTCCTCAAAGCTGGACCGCACCAGGCTTACACTGCCGTTCTGGTAAGCGCAGGGAAGCACAAACGATTTTCTACGGTCTAGTTCCATCATGTACTGTCTTCTACGATTAAATTACTATACTTCGGTATAACATATTTGCATCTTCATTCATCAGCTATATTTCACTTTAGGAAGTTTATAGAAAAATTTTAACGTTTTTTAAATTCTACTTGTTTCCACATCGTGAAGTTTAGAATGAGAATATCCAAATGGAAGAATAATAGTAGTATCCTATTTTCTAGCATATATACCCCGAGTTTTAGTTTAAAACTCATAAGTTTCTTATGGAGGTCTAAACAAATCTTAAATCCAACTTATTTCCATTCTGTGGAGCTTATAATAAAGATATCGAAATAAAAAAATAATGGCATTCATATTTGTAGCTCATCTTATCCTGTATTTTAAAGTTTAGGAGGAATTTTTAACATTTCTTTGAATTCAATTCTTTTCCATTTCCGAGATTTGAGATGAACATATTTAAATTAAAAAATAATAGTAGTTTCTATTTTCTAGATAAGAGAAAAGTTAAAAAACCATTCATATATAAGGAATTCAACAAAAAACTCTTGCAAGTTCGCTTTATGAGATATATTCGCTAGATGAGATATAACAGTTGATGAAAATGTTTCTATATACTACAAAAGGTGTCCATAAGATAGATTCTACTTTTTAACAAGATGAAGCAAAATTGTTGATGAAAATTCGGTTCGAAGGTACTTTCTGTAAGGCTGTTGTATATGATGGATGGTCGGAATACCAAACACAATTTACCGAAGACCGAGAATCAAGAGCCATCCCTGTATCCTCGGAATCTAGAATACAGTGGACACTAGAGAGAGGTAGTCGCACAGGGGGTTTATTAAGCTTATTAACGGACTATACAAGGGTGGATGTACATATCTACGTCGGTGGTCATGGAAAGTATGGCTAGCCAGAAGGGGTGCAAGGGTGGGAGATAATAGTACCTACGTGTGTGTGTCCTATCCTCTCATTCGTTTCATACGGCAGAAGTCGAGATTTCGGCTTGTCATACCTATAATTATCATTCCCCTTTGCGTTATTTCCTCTTCGTCTATTTAATTTCCACCTTCTCACTACCTTCCTCCAAATATCAAATTTAGTTCAATTTACGTTTAAATCGACTCACGAATTTGAACTAATTATACTGCAAAAGAGAATGTATGCCAGAAGAGTAACGATATTTAAAGCGGAAAATTCGAAAATTGAAATAAATTTTCCATTGTAGGTATAATACATACATTCATTATTACAAGGATACAGATATCTTTATTTTACACTCTTCGTATTCTTCTTAGAATTTTATGTGAAGTAATATGCAAGAGAATCACGAACACGATAACTATGAAAAAGAACAGCTGTCGGTGGAATTAAAAATATTACGATAATGATAATCATGCAGTCATTTGCCTTCTAAATCGACCACCCTCTTTCATAGGCCTGTTATATTCTTTGACTGCATCCCCTTCCTATAATCGCGTGGCCACCCTAGCGAGTATTATTAGCTGCACGCTTTGCAATTGGATTAACGGAAGCGGAATTGCATCGACGGAAACGGAAACGGCATGAATTGTTCCACATAGTCACGAAGGCCTACCACTTTTGCTTGTTTCATCTAATCGAAATACTTGCCAGTACCATGAGACAATTATTGTCGGATCACGATAATATTAAACTTTATTAAATCCAACATTAACAGTATCTTCCTCCTCTTCGTAAAGTTTGTAAAAACGATTATGTATTTCCAAAGTTCTATCTGTTATTAGGTTTCTGTTCTTTAAAAAGAACGAAGTCAATGATTTTTATTGAAATTTCTGTTGCCCAGTTTACAATATAATATCCAACATAATATTCATTGTTGTAAATTGTTACTAGAATATTCTTTCAATACTTCTACAATCTAATTCAAGATATTGGATATTTCTCTTGCGAAAAGGTTTTACAGAGGTATAAACAAATTACTAACTTACTTAAATGAAGCTGCGAAAGCTACCTCTATTAATTTTGTTATCTGTAACTCAAACAATCTAGAGCATCTAAGATATGCTTTATGATGAAACAGTTTATTCATAAAATTTCCAACGGCTGATAGTTTTTCAAGCAATGTTAATCGATTTTTTGTGAACTTTATGTTTTAATGATTAAAATATGTATATATATATACGTATTCAATTAACTAGTATTTATGAGAATCTCCAAAATATAGTTGTAAATACACAAGTAAAATCAACCAGTCTAGTAGAATTAAAGCTGAATTTATTAGATTCTCCAAATGAAAGATGTATCGAATAAAATATACCTATATGCCTAACACCTAGGAATAAAACAAACGATGGTACCTATTCAGACGATCCGAGAGTGCGTGAACGTAAGAACGAAGGGAGAACGGGTCGAAGGAGCTAAGGGTCGCAGATTTGGGTTTTACAGAAGAGAGGAAGAGAGGTCGTCTAATCGCGTCCCTAGTCCTGATTTAGGGCGGGATTTTAATTACGAAGGGTCAGTAAGTGCGGCTGTCCACTTGCCGTAAGTATTCCTCCCTTATTTATAGTTCATTAGCTCGGCTTTTACGCAAAAGGCAGATTAACTTACGTCCGGTTGTACGATCCCTTTTCTCAGACAAAATTTAACCCCGTAAAAAGATCTTTACACAATATTAATAAAATCCTCTTCACTATCTTTCATAATAATTTAGGAAACCTCTACTTACGATCTCTTTCTATCTATTTTCCATTGAAACAAAATTCCATAGTTAAAGGAAGCAAATTTTCGTGGACAAATCTTCGGAAGATTATTTCGACATGTACATGATTAATGAGTTCGAACATATCGCATTAAGAATTCTTCGATTACCAAAGTTATCAGGGGAAAGCCCTTTTCACGAGACACTATTTTCTGAGAATCGAGTTGTCGATAAGTGTGTCTTACGAAGCCCTTCCGGTGGCGCTGGCCACCGGTATCGTTTCCAAGCGATGTCGCCATCCTGATAAAAAGCGTAAAAAATGTTTCTGCTTTCCCTCCGCCCATTAATCTGTTATCTCGCTTACCTCATAACGAGCTTTACAATCCGACGTTACTTCGAAAATATCGCACAATTCCTATATTTCATTTAAAAAAATCGAATTAATTACTAATTCATAGGATAAGTAACAATCGCTATCTTTTACATATCTATAACCACACGATTCGTACAATTTTCTGTTAAAAGAAATCTACTAACTACAACACAATGCTACCAAAGAAAATTTATTTCAAAAGATCTCATCTTAATTGGTCATTAATTCACAAGACAAATAACAATGTCTAACTATTCCATCTATTAAGCATTCCTAACCACGAATTGAATTACCACATTATTTATACATTTTCTTATTAAAAGAAGCAAACTACCCAATTAAAAGAAAAAATCTCAACTTACAGATTAGAAAAATCAAGTAAAAAACAATGGGATTACATCATAGTCGAACAACCATAAACACACGTGACAACTGTGATAGATCTGGCCGGCGTCTTTCGCGTAAGTAATTGCGGTTTCACGACACGCAGACCCGATTTTTGCGGTAGATCGGTGTGAACCGACAAAACCGATCGGCGAGGTGTCCCTTGTCCGCGCTTCTCACTTTTAAAGACAGAGAGATAAGAAAACGCAGGTAAAATCGGCTACGGGTCGAAGCACCGTGCCACTTCCGAGGGGTTAATTACATTCTTGCGAGCCCCGCACGAACGAGTGAAACCGCATTTTGCTTCCTCGATTGCACTTTAGCAGACCACAGTGCAATAAACGGTAGCGTTGCGGGAACACGCCGACCGGAGACCTTTAAAGCGCCTTACACCATCTTTTCGCGTATGTATTCCGGGAAAATTCTTTCCAACTTCGACGAAGTTACGTATCAAGTAATATCGGTGCGTCGTCGGGCTGGATCGTTTGACTTCACCGGTTAACTTCAAAGGGTCAACGGTTATTTGATTACAGCTTACTCGAGTATTTTGTGGCAGTTCGGCGTTCTTGCAACTGGAAATTGAAAAGGATTGGTCAGATTATAGGATGTTGAAACGACATGGGAGAAATTTAAGTACTTCATTGAACTGTAAAAGCTATATACAAGACACATAGATAGTAATTTGATAGCTGATTTTCTTTAGAAGATGTAATAATAGAATCGTAAAGAATTTTCGAAATATGTAAAAGTTATCAAATTATTACTGTAATCTATTATGATACATTATTCTAGAACTACCATTGCTTTTCAAATTGGGGTACCTACCTACGGATGACGAATCTAAATTTCTAGACTTGGATTTACTAGAAAAAAAGAATTCACTAGAAATTTTGAAGAATTTTCAAGATATACAAAGATCATCAAACTATTATCATGATTTTAAACAATTTAGGAGAAAAACCAGTGATTTTCAAATTGAAGCAAGGAGGAATATCTGAAGAGAACTCGTCCAAACCTAAACCCTATCAATTATCATTACCAGCCAACTTATATGTCTAGTAATAATGTTTGGCGTCTGTGTAGAAGGTAGATACCTGACCAAAGATACAATTTTACAAAGTTCCTGGTGGATTGAATCTTGCAATAGATATCAGAGGTAACAGCTTCCTACCTTGGTAGAGTAGAGACAGGTGGGGGGTCACCGAACAAAGTTCAAAAGAGAGTAAAAGAGACGACGGGGGAGAAAAGGAGGAGGTTGAAGGTGGCGGTGGTACGAAGGAACAAAATCCCGAGGGTGGGGCAAACGATCCACGATGCGGGAGAGTCCCACCCCCACCTGCTCCCGCGATCACAGGCTCCGCCTCCAGAAAGCCGCGTGACGTCACACAGACACTTGTTACGCCTTGCTGATACACTGGGTTGCCACTTGGATCTTGTAACCTGGAGAAGTCACTTTTTTCAACCCCTATGAGCGACTTTTGTCCAAGTTTCAAACTACAAAAATCAAGATTTTTTTATTATTCCGTTCGTTTTCGTCACTTGGGGTTTATACAATTCTACGATATATTGAAATAGGTATTAGAGATGTAACTCACTAACTTAGAAAAGCCACTTTTTCCTATGATTAATTATCATCAGTTTTTAATGTATTCTCCAATTTATAAACATCAAAATATGTACTCTATTACTCCGTTTCCTTTCGCCAATGAGGTTTTATAGGGATCTGTTTAATCTGGAAACATCAGAATAAAGGTTAAGTGGAAAGCAAGCCATGATGAAAAACATTTGAATTTCCCTCGCTTCCCAGAAAATTGAATAACTTTCCTGATAGTGTATGCGAATATTATCCTGTTATATACTAGGAATTATTAGAATCCCCGACTATTCGACTATCAATTATTTCAGAAAAGGATATGAGCGTTTAACGCCATTCAGCAAGATTACGAAATCGCGGGTGCTGAAAGCTTGGCCCGCTTTGAAAAAGAACATGATAACACACGGAGTTTTGATGATACTTCCTCCTTATCGGTATTAGAACTAACTAAAAGATTATGTAGAGAAATGACTAATTAGCATGAATTAGTTCGACCATGTCAAATATTACATCAACGACATCTATATGTTTTATATATATTGGTACTACATGATTGGTCGAATCTAGTTTTGATCAGTTGCAAAATCGGGCTCACTAGCATATGCAAATATATTTATAAATGGATACAATTATAGATAGCAACTACGATGACACATGGGATTTTCCGTAAATTCGCTGTAGCCATGAAACAGGTTGGATTTACCTTTCACGATATCGAAATGGCCTTCAATGTATCTTTTCTCCTGTACAGCTGATTAATATACTGTATCTCTGGATTTTTACACATTATAAGGAACCTAAAAGTGAACGAATGGATACTGTTTTCAATTCTTTATGATTCAACTTTACTTCAAACTAACCTAATTATTGCATTGTTAAACTGAATGTGAATACCGTGGATACTAGTAATGCTTAATATTCTATGATCATACCTAAATGGTTTATGCGAAAGGTTAAACGAATGATCACTTTGTAACGCCACCTTAACGTGCACTTTACGATTCAACTTCATTTCGAGCTAACCTAAAGCTCACAGTGATAACATTCAGCACTCTTTTATATTAAATGATTTCTGTAATTCTTTTCTCAAAGCTACAATTATAATTTGAAACACTTACTTGTGCTGACTAAATTGTGCCAACGCCACTGACGCTTTCGATAATCGCAAGCAGTTCCTATCGAACGGCCTATAGATCGAAATCCTAGTTCCTTAGCCCGTGGCGCTACTTAACCTAATTTGCACGCACTTATTCAATTTGATTAAATATACAAAATTAAATACACGTACTACGTTCAGCAATTACGTTGAATAACGTTATGTGCACATATATTAAAAAGTGATGGTGTTTTTAAATTTACCTTGGAATATACTATTCCATATACTATACTTACTATACATACTATATTTGGAATTATTCATGTCATCTTGCAACGAGTGAAAGTAAATCATTTGCTCCTAGAGAATCGAACACTAATCGCATACTTCTATAACGAAACTAATTAACAGTTTGAGATATATTAAGATACTGAGTACATTAAAACCATTTGATCAAATGCAATCGATTACTAATTGATATGATCATTTGCCATGACTAACACAATTTCCCAGTAATTGAACAATGCAACATATTCGCCGGAAACTGGCGAAAAACTCTTCGCGTGAGAGAATAGACTGCGTATAAATAAGCCGAGAAATATGAAAACGCGAACACTGGCCAGAAAACGAGTGCACTCGATCAGAGGGCGGGCGATCTAACAGTGGGGATATGGAAGAGAGGAGGCGCGGCGGGAGGATGATGTCGACGGTGGGGAGCTTTGGAATTGCAAGGCTTAGGCCGTCCCGGGCCGCTTACGCGGAACACGCGGCTGAAGCCGCGCCGCCGGCATTACGTCGCGCACCGTCGACCGCGACTGACGTTCCTGTAATTGTGTTTCATTCCCAACCTCTATTTCGATGTACTGTGTTTTCTCGAATCTACAAACGAGCCTCGTCAAAAATCGTGTCTGCACATAGTATCGAATCTTTGTCGCGAAACAAAAGTGAAAGCTTCTCATTTAAGCTGTCATTAGACCAACTGGTGTCAGAGATTCGGAAACCTCGGCGTACCTCGCGTCCAGCAACCTGTAGGAGCCTCCAATCCGAGTAAAAACGTGTTACGTCATCAATAAGTGATCGTATAGTTTAATAACAAATCCTTGATAGATCGTGCATCGATCTCTGTAGTGACACCTCGCGGACTAAAAGTGCAATAGAGGGGAGAAACAGTTTCTGATTGGAGGTGTTACGTTGTTATTCGATAAATATTGTCATGGCGTTGGCGGGAAACGAGTAAGTTTAGGAGCTGTCGTTATGGAACTCGGAGAAATTTCGAGAACGCCGACAATACTTCGTACGTATTATAAGATACGATGAATGTGTCGGTAAGTATCCTGGATATCCATCGTGTGGACCAGAAGTGGAGAAGCAGCTGCTGGAGGAGGAGTTACTGGTAGCAGCCAGGAAGTAGATAGCAGGCTCCGGTGGAGTGTATAGATCGAGGAGGCAAGTGAAGTCACGACGTCTTGCCCGGAGGGTGCGTGCTTGGGCGACGAGGGGCGGCTACTGGCCGATGGGATGCATCTACCGGTGGGTTCCGTGGGCTGCGGGGAGAATTACGCCACCGTTGGATCCCACGAAGGCGCCGGCCCGTGCGGCCCCTCACTGGCGCCTCTCCAGGGGGTGAACACCAGGTACCAGCAGGCCGACGACGCCGACGCCGGGGGAGGAGGTGGCGAGATGAGCGAGGGTGCCGCCGTCGGCGAGCTGTGGTGGACCGAGAGACTCGTCGGCGAGGCACAGGCTGAACATCCTGGCGAATTAGTTCGAACAGGTTCGTAATATTTCTAACATTGAAATCAGTCTGTCTTTAATCGTTTATGGAAACTTTGTAAATTTATTACGGTATATTTGTAGTGACTGAAGTAATTTGTTTGTGAGGATGTATGGATGGATGTGAATATTCATATTGTTTGTAAACTAGGATTACTAGGTTAGTAAAATTGTCTGGTTCGTTTACATTACATTACATTTACATTAATATGTAATGTGTTTTTGAAGATTTAAATGATTTGTTTGTAAAGTATATGGATAAAGGTTTCTGTTGTTCCTTTCTTTCTGCACTTTTGAGTCCTTTGCGGTACAAGTTTTATAGTTTACTCGGTGAAAGGTGCGTGTTCGTCGTCGGTGGTCACCAATGTGTAGGAGGTTGAATGATGAGATTACTAGTAGGTGAAATCGTTAATGTATTTAACATTGTCAGTACAAAGTCCTAGTCGCGAAACGGCGTGTATAAAATCGTTTGGTCGCAGTTTATAATAATCCGTTTGCGATCGCGTCTGTTTATTTATAGTAGTCGGGGGGAAGTCGGAAGATTCAAATTTGTCTTTGTTTTACGGTTACATGTAGCGGAGTTTTCTATATGCAGTTTTCTATAAAATTTTCTATATGCAGTTGGTGAAATATCAGGTTAGTAAAAAATTATAATGTTTCTACGTAGATTCTTAGTCATATTAATCATATTTTAGAAGAAGACAAGAATAATGTTTGTACAAGTATACAATTAAATATGGCGGCCGAGAATAGAGTTAGATGAATTAAATTTAAGAACGTAAAAATCTTTATATAATTGTAAAATATCATTTTTCCCAAATATTAATTTAGAATATTCATTAGAAAAGTACGTAAAGTAATGCTTGTTACAAAAATTTAATTGCATCTGAAGGAACAGAACCAATTCTATCCCACCTGTCTCTACAGCAAAGACACTAATTGCTTTTATAATTTTTTGCAGGATCTCCGTATTTTCTATGCAGTCAACTGCCAACTCACTGGCGGTCCAACAAGACGCTTCCGGTGGCGTTCAAAGTTGTCGCCCTGGGCGAAGTCGTCGATGGAACTCTAGTGACAGTGCGAGCGGGTAACGATGAGAACTGTTGCGCCGAACTAAGGAATTCCACTACCTTGATGAAGAACCAAGTCGCCAAGTTCAATGACTTGAGGTTCGTTGGGAGAAGCGGCAGGGGTGAGTCTCTTAAACAGTTCTCTCGGTTCTCATCCTTTTTTTCAAATACATACATGAGACATAACCTAACCTTTATCACGCCATTAGATTTCATAGTGATATAAAAATGAAATTAATATCTCGTATCTCTAAATGTAAACTGCTGACATTATAATGTTATACCTGAAATATCTAAACTAAAATCATGTATGTCTAAATGCAAACGTTTTTTAAGATTCTACATTAAAAAAACACAACGGTTAGATTTGAAAATATAGATCAATGATTGAAGATAAATGATCAAAGCTCGAAGCAACTGATTAAACGAGCCAATAGAGAGAGTTAGTTTTGAGGTTTCGAGTGTCATCGTCAGTGGCAGTTTGCTTTGTAAGTCGTTGAAAAAGCAGCCAGTAAATTATCTGCACGAGAGAGGCATGTACCGTGATTTCGAACCCCCTAAAAGCACGGTTATTGTAATCATCATCGTCATCAACTGGCCTCAACCCCGCTTGACTCGTCTCTCGCTTTTAAACCCTCCGCATCCGCGAGTTCCCTCGCATCCCGCTGCCCCCAGAGTCATTACTCGATGTCCGCCGGTAGCCCCGACCTAGCATCCGAAACAACTGGCCGTTAATCAGAAATCATCGTCCGTCGGCCAGAGAGAAAGAGGCTAAGTCTCGAAAATCAGGCAAATCCGATCAATGTTCCTACCTTGTTTCTGTAAAACACAAATATAAATTTCTTTATTTTTTAGTTTTAAGTTTATTTATATTACTAATTTACTTTACACTTAGTTTCTTTAGTTAATATGCCTCAAAAGTTAATCGCAAGGCTTTCTAAAACGGATGTATTGGTTTATGATGCAAAACTTTCTATTTCAAAAGCAATATTAAGAAAGATTGTAATTAATATTATACAGTTATATGACAACGTTTATTTGCCGTACTGTTTTCTTTTACTTGTCAGACCTTTACACCTAACATTATTTCAGATTCCTTTAAGTATCTTATTTATACAAAGTGAATAATCTATCCAGAAACTTTTGCACATAACTTTAGATGTCGAATGTATTTTCTAATCATATAGTAGATTTATTATAAAATTTTTATATACATATTTCGTAAGCATGAAGAGAATTCCTTAAGAAGCGTTACTGTATCAATCGAAGCGTAGTTAATATTAAAAAAGTAAAACTAAAGCTTTCAACGCAATTTACTCAGTTAATAATTTTATCTTCGGATCCCTTTTTTGAAAAGCGCCTCGATTAAAGCAGGCAGAAACGAATAGTCTGAGAGTTAATTAGAAATGTTAAATATCTTCTTTACCGTTTGAACTTTATGTTAGTTAATTCGCTGTTTGGAAAACCGCAGTTGTTAAACTGCTTTAAAAGGTATAGATTAAGCTTCAATGCGGAAATTAAATCGTGTCAGCCGCGAACAAAGTTACACGTATCACGGGAACCGAGCTTTTAATAAATGATTGTCGAATGAATTGATCGTCCGGTAGCTTTTTAAATAATCCGTTTTTACGCCGATTAAGTCGCAGATTTCAGGGACGCGCGTGTACGTAGATCGGGCGACGATTATCTACGGACCAGCAGGTAAACTCATCGGGTTCTACAAATGCATTTTGCACCCCACGCACCGTACGATGCATTTATGAATTAACGAGCCGGACTGCTCGCGCTCGAGCTGTACGCCCGTCGATAGCATCATCTATGTTTCATTCGATTTCATCATGA